ACACACACACACACACACACACACACACACACTCACTCTCTCTCACATACACGCACTCTCTCTCACATACACGCACACACACACACACTCGCACATTCACACACACGCCTATGTTTACGTTTACACTCGCACATGGGTGGTTTTTGGATGCCCTGGTATAGTTACCTTATCAAACATCTATTATCCTTATATCTCTTGACCTTCCTTCGTTTCTTTGTAAGTTACTCTCTGGTAAATACTCTAATCTTCGGCACCTAGATCTATATAATGACTTGTTTGTGTCGCAAGTGCTGTGACACTCGTTCTAAACCTTAACTTATACTGGCACACAGTTTGTCCATCGTTCCCTTTCCTTCTATCGATTGGAGATTAGACACCCCATAATATTATTATTCTTTCGAGTCCCCCAATTCTATTTTCCTCTTTTCCTTCTTTGACCTCGCACCGTTTAATCTTTCCCTTACTATTTTCTTGCACCCCACACCCACCCACTCGCCTTTGTCCCTTCCCCCTGTTCTGTTCGTTGTCACTGTGCTGTGATTAATTAAGCGCACGTCTTTTACACCTGGAAAAACATAATATATTTTGTCTTCGGGGAATCGATTTAGGGATAATTTCTTGACTGAACCTGTCTCTCTGTCAGTTTGAGTGTCTGTTGTCCGACCTTGTCTTTTTCTTTTTCAAACGTGAAGTGTCGAGTTTAGCACATTACACTGTAACTCGCCAGGCGTCTTTAGAAACAAAGTCTTGCCTTGACCCATTTCTCTCGTCGCTCTATCGTGCTAGAGTTCAGTCTTGTTCTTTCAGTTTGAGTGACTATCTCCCCATCCTGTCATTTCCTCTTTCAAACATTAAGTGTGGGTGGTTGGCGCGTGCCCTGATGTGGTTTGCTCCTTCTTTCCTATCAAACATCGATCGCCTTTTCTTTCCTCCTTTCTGTGTTTGTTACTCTCTTGTAACACCTCCAATCTTCCACACATGTATAACCTTATTGTGTTGCAAGTGCCATGAAGCTTGTATTAAAGCTAAAGCTAAAACATAAAGTGTCAAGTTTAACCCATTTTCCCCGTCACTTTATCGTTCCAGGGCTGAACCTTGTTACTGTCTGTTTAAGTGACTCTCTATCGTCCCCATCCTGTCATTTCCTTTTCCAAACATAAAGTGTCAAGTTAAACTCATTTCTCTCGTCACTCTATCGTTCCAGAGCTCAGCATGCGAGGCGAGCATCCCCGACCAGCAGCGTCCGGCCCCCGGCGAGCGAGCGTGTCTGGAGCAGCTAGCGGAGAGTGAGCGAGAGCAGCTAGCAGCGGCGAACGCTGAAATGGAGCAGCTACGAAGGGAAGTGGGCGCTTTGCTCAAGGGCCGCGGGAAAGAGGCTGATGCCGTGCTCAGGAAGCTGGACAGGATGAGAGACATTGAGGAGGTGAGGCTTAATCTGTCTGTCTGTCTGTCTGTCTGTCTGTCTGTCTGTCTGTCTGTCTGTCTGTCTGTCTGTCTGTCTGTCTGTCTGTCTGTCTGTCTGTCTGTCTGTCTGTCTGTCTGTCTGTCTGTCTGTCTGTCTGTCTGTCTGTCTGTCTGTCCGTCCGTCCGTCCGTCCGTCCGTCCGTCCGTCCGTCCGTCCGTCCGTCCGTCCGTCCGTCCGTCTGTCTGCCTGCCTGCCTGCCTGCCTGCCTGCCTGTCTGTCTGTCCCTTGTTTTTAAAAGAATCATCTTGAGTGATATTATTCAATGATATTATAATGCTTCATTTGAGCTCCCTCAGCAACAATTAGAACAACCATCCACTCTCTCAGAACGTTGTCTTTTACTTCGCGTGAGTGTTTCAGGGATGATCTTTCCAGTCGCTGTCGTTATTGCTTAAAGCATCAATTTTTGTGTACGAAGAATATTATCAGAATGATGCGCGACGTTTGGGACCCCCTGTGTGCGTGTGTGTGTATCTGTGTGAGTGTGTGTCTGTGTGTGTGTCTGTGTGTGTGTGTAGTTGTGTGTGTGTGCTTGTATTTGTGTTTGTATGTGTGTGTGGGGGGGGGAGGGGTCCTTTTGCAAATCAAAATGGTCTCAGGAATGTTCTTCTACACTTAGAGTTTCAAGAGTGTCAACTTGAACCGTCTATTTTTATGTGTCTCGTCTGAAAAAAAGTAAATATTATTGTGTTGGAGGCAGTGCAGCTAACATTTAATCTTGAGATAATAAGATTAAGAAATTTCTATGACTGTACATCCGCCTCGGCTGGAAAAAGCGCAGCTGTTGCCTCAGAATGTATGTCGACTGATATGGTCGTTTGAAATCAGGACATCAGCATGTGTGGTGTAACGGTTAGGCTCTTTGTTGTTGCATACAGGTGAATTGAGGTCGATTCCAAAGTGGAAAAGTTAGTTTATTTAAATCGAATATCTTTTACCAGTAGAGTGTCGTATCCGTTGTCGAACCCGGGCAGTCTGGTTTGAAGAGCCTGATTCCTTAATTATGTAGAAGCGGACTGAAACACTTATTATGGAACCATAGAATAATAGAATGAGAGTTATCCTTTTGGTTATGTCATGTGTATGATTCTTAAGATTTGCAATTAGAATTCAAGATATTCAATTCGTTCTCTGTGCTGTATGGTGCGACTCTTTAAATCGAAATAAAAGTTAACCATGTCCGATGTCATATAATATTCTCTTTGTGATGTTTATCTGGAAGTTTTTTGGTTGCTAACGATGTATTTGTTGTAGGTGTGATTGGTAGAGAAGGAGGGTAAGCTCTGTATTTTCTAAAAGTGACAATTCTATGCTAGCTCTCTTCTAGTTGTGACTTCGACGTGGAATCCTAGTGCCTGCCACCCACCTCCCGCTCTTCCTTGGACGTTTTTGTCCCCCCTCTCCAGAGCAATTATTATGTTGAAGTGGTATTGGGCAGGCTATAGTTCCCTTTTAATAATATTATAGTAGGATTGTCTCTAAGAGGTTGGACCTTTCATTCTACCACTTTCGTCTAAGATAGGACTGAACCGGAGTGGTGAAAGGTAATGAAAACCCCTCACACAAATCTTGTTCAAGAGGTCTGTCATTGTAGATTTGAACCAGGGTCTCTCCTCCCTGAGCTCAGTTTGATGTCAATCGGACTGCTGAGATACTCAACTATGATGACAGTAGTTCTCCAATAGTTACATCAGCACTGTTATATTATTTCCGCCTTCACTTTTCCGACCACACAGAATGCAGCTTCACTGGAGGCAATGGCCCATGAGCTTCAGATGAAAGTCGTTTCTCTGCAAGAAGAGAAAGACTCACTTCAAGAAGAACTTGCTTTACGGGGTGCCAAGTCTCCCAAGGGGGACAAATCTACGGCTGCTGCCAGGGAGAGACAAGAAAATCTTGAGTTGAAGGTATTTCTCAGCTTGAGTCTGTTTTCCTTTGATGTTTTACTGTCTCATGTTTGTGGGACATGGATGGTTAAAAGTTGTGTATTTTTCTGTGATTGTCTTAGCACACAGCGATTGTGTTGTCAGAGTGAATCATTGTTTCTGACATGGCTTTAACGTCCTTGTGTTTTTCGTTTCTTCTTGTACATAAATTACTGTTCCTTTTATCAATTAATGTTGTTCTGCAATAGAAAATTATGACTTGTGTAATCCAGATTAATCAACGTATTTTATATACCTCCCACTCTTTCGATATAATATACATCACTTCCTGCCTCTCCCTTTTTATTCACGCACCTTATTATTTCGAATTTTATGTTTTTATTACTTGGGTTGAATAATAAATAGGACAGGTTACAGTTTTCCTCATAGACCAGGATATGCAAATCTCATTGTCTAGGCTTGATTGTTTTGATTTTGCCTCAGGCTTTGGAGTACAGGAACACACGCGTAATTGCGTAGATCTTTAACTCTCCTAAAGCCAGTTTTCTTCTTTTGTGTCGTATTTTACTTTTGACAAAAATAGCGCTGCAGTAAACTGTGGGCGTTTTTCCACTTAAAGCGTCACATACGTTGTTTTTGCACGGTAAGTTTCTCCTTATCAACGTCCGTAGCCAGAGCTGTCTGAATCATTTACAATACTCCTAGACTCAACAGCTGTTTGGTCCCAGGATAGAGCCTGTCCAAGGCCTCCGCTTTGTCCGGGGCCATTTTCCACTGTGCTCTGTTGTGGGTCACTCGCCTTTTCTCAGTGCTTTCTGTTCAGTTTTGAACGTCTGGGCGCTGTTTATTGTGTTTTCCAGGTGGTATTATATTGTAACCGCTCATGTGTATACTTCTTTCATTAACATTGTATTTCTTCCTTATGTCACGCAGCTGTATACAAGTCGCTGATGTTGACTTTGTAACTTTATTCCTTTTTATGTTGTCATTGGTTGGTTCCATCAGGTCTATTAACCTGACGTGTTTCATTTTTTTTCAGACTGTCTAACAAAGATGACACTCTAAAGTATGAATGTATAATAATATATCATAACATTTGTTCATCTTTATCATGCTTTATTGATTTCCGAAGTCAAGTAATTAATGATTATAACAATGATCTTGTATTATTCTCAGAAAGCTCAAGACAGTTTTTTGCTAACATTTAAAATGCTTGAGGGTTTTTTCGTGGGGGGGGGGGGCTACTTTTAACAATTTATATCCTGGCAACCTTTCGATCTTCTGTGGACAGTAACTTTTATCCTACTTTAAGTATTGAAAATTTACAAGTCGTTGAGTGTTAGGCACAATTTCTCATTTGAGATACTTGTATACTTGCAAAGTCACTTGATGTAAAAGTCTACAACATTAATTTCATTTTATACACGTCCGTAGATTTATTGACCTAAAACTTTGGAAGACAGAAAATCCTGTGTACCCAATCTCCTCTCACGTGACTAACCAGGGTGTGCTTTCTCCTCGCACTCTCCTATCACTCTCACAGGTGGAGATATCTCGTCTGGTGAGCGCCGAGACAAAGCTCTCGGACGAACGTAATGTTTTACTCGAGCAGCTGGAGGACTGGAAGGTTCAGTATGAGCATCTGAAACACCAACTAGATATTGTAACACGTCAACAACAGACCTTGAAGGTCAAAGTTCATGACAGCACGTCAAGCGGCGACTCTACTCCTGCCTCCCCGTCTTCCTCACCCTCTCAGTCCCCCAAGAGATTGTCTAAAGACAGAAAGTCAAAATCTAGAGGAGGAGATGATTCCACACCTCAGTCAAAGAAAAGGAAAAGTAGTGTACCAAACGAAAATTCAAATTCGCTAAAGAGTTTTAGGAGCTTTGGTGATATTAAATCAGTAGCCGAGGAACAAGTTATCACCAGGACCTTCAAGAGCACTGAAAATGTGCAGCCACTGAAATCTGAAGATAGTGGTAAGGAGGAAAAGATGATGAAAAGGATCTCCCAGTTAGAATCAGAGCTAAAAGGAATGAAAGATGAGAACTCTTTGCTTCTGGACCAGCTGAAGCAATCGGTCATTGAGAAAAGCTCAGAGGCGGAAGCAGACCAACAGATGCTGCTGGACCGGTTAAGAGCCATGGACTCTGAGCTAGACTTACTTAGGAGAGAGAATGTGGCTCTGGCTCAACAGCTGAGACAGCGCGTGGAGGAATTTCAAGACAGTCAGGACGAGATGAGTCCTCGAGTGTCGGAGCTGGAGGAGTACTGTGAAGACCTCCAGGAGAGACTCCACTCCGCAGAGTGCGGCGAGAGACATCTCCGAGAGAAACTGCGACTTGTTGAAAGCAGCATTGATGAAGCAGAGTCCAATGAGATGGCCATCAGGGAAGAGTATGAAAAGTTGGTTGCGAGAGAAGCTGAGGCAAAGAATCACATCCTCGAGCTACAGAGGACAGGCCGTGAGTTGAGAGACATCATCCTCGACAAGGATATTGTGGAACAGGCTCTGAGGGATAAGGTACGCTCGAGTTCTGGTGGCATTTGATCTAACATTGCAACTGATGGCCTTGGTGGAATGCTCCTACACGTTTGGAATTTTGGCATGCTTCTCTCCCCCCATTCCTCTCCATAGAACGATGCGTGTTTTGGATGCTAATTGATTGACATGTTAAGAAAACATACTTTTTTGAAGCAAAAAAGACTTACTAAGTCATTATAGACTGTAATATTTATGGAATGCTTTCTCTCCTCCCACCTCCCCCCAACTCAGTTCATTGTATTTTTATTGAGAAGTGTTTAGTGATAGAAAATATTAACATTGGACATCTAATCTATTGTTCTATAGCTCGAAGAACAAAAAGCACCAGTTTCTTATCTTCATTGTTGTTTCTTGCTTTTCAGAACTAAGAAAAATACTATGCATGAAAAATCTAATGCCACATTGGCTATTTTAATAATTTTTATGCATTTTGAGCACTGTCGCTTACTATCGGTTTGAATTTCTTCTTACCGAGATTTACTCTTTGGGGAAGGGGAATAAGTAAAAGTTATTTGGTTTGAAAAATCCACGGAGCAATCAGGTGATGTTCAGCTGTGGGTTGGTGGTCTCAGTTTTGTTCATGTATCAGCATAATGGTATTGATAAACTGCCCAGTTTGGTACATCATGGGTTAGACTGCAGCTTGTTTAGTCCCTCGGTATTGCTTGATTAATTATTTTTTTGTGGTTTGAACATGTGAAAATATAAGGCTTTTACTCTATTTACTCTATTATCTGTATTTGAGGAGTGTGGTGGCAGCTACTATATTGTGGGTTAGAAGAGTCTGTATCCTCAAGTGGTGGTTAGTGTTGTTTTTTTCTCCTTTAAATATTTGTTTTCCGGATATTTGCGGTGGGCTGTTCTTTTCTGGGATTTTGCTACTCTTTCTGCTCTTGTCCAACAACCCCCCCCCCCCCCCCCCCAATTTTGACTTCCTACTTTTCCACCTTAATATGATGTTATTTGTGTATGGTGGTTGGACGAAGAAATTTGCCTCTTTTGCTCGCGTCGACAGCAAAGTCTAGTTTTTTTTTGCTGTGAAGAGCCAAAAATGGGAAAATATTTTGCTTGTTTTCTTATTCTCAGCCTCTTGCTTTTCCATGGCAGCTTAAGAGCCTTCTTTCAGGTATCTGGTTTTCTTGATTCTTTCCAACTCCGTAGACTTGCGTGTGCACTCTGTGAGATCTAATGGTAACTTAAGATATGAGTTTTACCTGTATAGAATTCTCATTTATTCAATTTTTCAATTTAGGTTTGTGATATGTTTAATAATGACAAAGAAGAGATGTATTATCTTCTGTAAGGAGCAATCTGGTGAAGTCCAACCGTGGGTTAGTCATATCTGTTTTGTTCATGTATCAGCATAATGGTATGAGGAAATTCCCCTTATGTTCTTTTCATTTGGCTCTGGACAATTTTTCCCTCCCTTTTTTCCCAACATGTGGTTTTTGAGCTCTCTGTTTTGTTGGATGAAGAGTACTTTGTTTCCTGATGATGGCTGTCTGTTTCTGAGTACACTGCTTGTTCTATCTCTCTTTTCATTTTTTGGTCGTTTTTCCACCGTCTTAATCCTATTGTCTGCAGAGTGCATAATTTATGATCTAATAGTGTTGACAAGACCGTAAAAATATCTACTAGACCAGTGAAACGCCAATTTTATGCAGCAATGCTCAGAGCTCAGGCAGCACTTGTCAGTAAACTGTTTTCACCACCATCTGTCTTGACTTAGTTTCTTTGTGGTTTGTTTGCTTACATTAGCCGTAGCTCCCATTCTGGCATGCACCTTTAGAGTATGTAGATCTCACTGTCAATGTCCGAGTTTTTAAATGTATGTTACCACACATGAATTCTCATACAGTGTTTAAGTTGAAAAGGTTTTACTCACCAACAATGAACTGACTGTTTGATCTCTAATAATCTCTCACAGACTGACAAAAGTGATGTGCCAAATGTCCACATTTTCTTATATATTTGTGATGTGTGAAGATTGTAGTTTGATGCATTTCCAACTGTATCTATTATTCTTTTTTATTGCACGTAACAGTTTGCAGTTTAAAAATCTTTTTTTTGGTTGTAATTATGTGGCAATGATTTCTTTAATTCATACTTTATTTATTGATAGATTTTGTCCTCTTTTAATGTTTTAACAGGCACAACAGATCTCATTGTGTTTATATTCATATTCCTGTTAAAAATTGTTATACATTGTACATTAGCTTTGGTGGTATGACCAGGAAGAATCTCAAACATTTATGACAATGCTGTCTTAATTTGTTTTTACTCCTGTCTTTTACTCAGGTATTCAAACAAAGGAGTGGGCACAAAAGAATATATATAATTAGGATTGAGAGTAAATTCCTAAGACTGAATATTTTTAGTAGATAAGGAAAAATATGATATATAAAAGAATATCAAACTTTACTATGGATTAGTAAAAGCCAAAATCTTTCTTCAACAATTATTTTTGATATGGTATCTTTCATCTTGTTTAATACACACTGTTGACCTCATGATTTAAAACCCTTTGTTTCATTTTGCAACATATGCTCTATGTGAAATTTGCTTTATCAACTTGATGACTGTCTCACACTGCTGTACATGGTGTCTTTAGGTGGACTTTCTCCAAAAGGCTGAAGCTGCGTCTGTTCAGAGAATTGAAGAGCTGGAGGTTGTGGAGAAGGACTTGCGGGAGCAACTAGAGCAACAACGCTTGGGCGAAGGTGGCAGCTCCCAGCGGGACCTCAACAAGATCCAGGAGCTCAAACATCAGTTGACTTTCCTGGAGACGGACAACAAAGCTCTGTCCTCTCGTGTAGCCGAGCTCGAGGAGAATGAAGAGATCCTGCGGGAGAACTGGCGCCGGGTGGCCGACGAAGACTTCAATAGGACTCAGTGTTTGGAGGAAAAGGTGAGCTGCCTTAGTCAGAGACTAAGAGCAGATTTTTTCCCTTACATTTTGTTATTATTTCTAAGAAGAGAGCAACAGTCGGATGGGAAAATATAGTGATACTTCTGAATTATCCACAACTTTTGTTTGCTCTCTTTTTGGGTTGTAGGGGTCACAGTAGGGAGGATGGAGGGAGGGTGGAAAACAGACCTTTTATGAGAATCAAAATTTGAGGACCATCAGATTCTAGAGTTGTGTTGCAGGGAGGGTGGTATTTCTCTGATGTCCATTTTAAAGCCAATTATATCCAGTATACTAAGTAGGCCTACTGTTGTAATAGTAGTTCTTGGTAATTTGGAAAATCTTATCGTGAAAGGATTACTGTTTGGTTTTGATAAGCATTGTCATCTGAAAAGAGAGAGAAACCTGGTGCTGTGTTTGAATTCTTTTTGTGTAGAATCCCAGACATGATGCAGTTTATCCACAGTCTACATTTGTGCCAAATGACTGCTTTTAGATTGGTAAGCACTAGTGCTGACAATCTAAAACCACATATTTAACTTTTTCTACACAGGTTCGAATGCTTGAGTCTCTAAACAGAGATCTGAGATCAAAATTGACAGATGCCCAGGAGTACTTTGTCATCAACACCATCCCAGGGTCAGAGACGACTTTGGCGGCTGAATTAGCTCAATCCCAGGCCAGCGCTCCAACACAAGGCACCTCAGACATAAGCAATGATAGTGGCAACAAAGGTTTGTCCTTGCAAATCATGTAGTTAAGGCTTTTAGAAAGTTCCTACTAGAATTTGTTCTGACATCTCCTGTCTCCTTTGGTGGTGCAGTTGGTTATGCACTTTGTTGTACACTAAGTTTTGCAGTTCATACCAAAATGAAGTCAAAATTTTCTCTTCTGTCTTGGAATATTTATTCCTGTTCAGGTGACAAGAATGAAATCCGAAGAGCCATTCAGATTCCTTTTGAAAAAGTAAACTGTAATTTGTTTGTTTTATCTTTCTTCTTATCCTTTTCTCTCACCTGTTCATGTCTAGAGAAATTCTAGGTTATAAAGAAATATGCCTTTGTTCACATTTTAAAATTAAATACATATCATGTATGAAATAATTTCATGCCAGTGTTAATTCCACCGGAATATGACATGCTCAGCCGAAGGGGATGTCAAACAAATGATGATGGGCATATTGTTGATGCACTGTGGATTGGCATAATCACAGTAATCTGTATTGGCATTACGTTGTGGATTGGCATGGAATGAGTTAAGAAAAAGGGGAAAGTCTGGACGGTATTATAATAGAAAATTACATCTTTATAATGAAATATTGAAATGGCAATAATTTAAGATCTAGTTGATGGAGTCATTTTAATCAGGAATAGAGAGGATGAATGGTTGAACTTGTTCCTTTCTAACAATGCAGGAGAGGACAACCAGGAGGAAGAAGTAGGTCAGCTTCAGGAGCAAAAAGTCCTGAAAGAAAAAGTTCGCAAATTGGAACGAAAACTGAGTGATGTGTCCGAGATGAAGAACTCAAAGATAGAGACTCTGCAAGAAAAGATTGTGAGCCTAAAGGTAAGGCATCCTGAAAGTCTTTATGCTGAATGATCTGCCTCACATTTGTGGTATTTGTCTTCTGATATTCAATTTTTTTCTGTTTATAAAAAATTGTCATGCCCCTTACAGTAGTATGTTGATGATAAATCTATTTGTATGTGAAGAAGCCTTGTTTGTAACTTGTTATTAGCTCATGTTTTTTTAAGGATATGAAACAAGGCCCTCTTGAAATTTTTGTATAATTGTTGTTGATTTTAACTGAAGACATGTGTCTGAACACAATATAGTACCTTGCTTGTACATCCCATTTTACTCATTGATTTCATTTTTATTCTCTTCAGGAAAATGAAATCAAACTCAGCGAGACAATCTCAGAGATGGAGATGACAGAGAGAGAGATCAGGGCAAAACTAGCACTCTACGAGAGTTCAGAGGTCACAGTGGAGAAAATGCTGAAGTATCAGAGCAAGATTGAAGAGCTGAGGACTTCTCAGGTAACATGTTGTTAGTGTTGACAACTGTAATACCTTACTTGACACAATGTAGGCCATTTTGAAGATGGATCTCTAGTTACCTTTCAGGATACTTGCCTGAGAGGTAATATTCCGTGAAGGACAAGAAAGATGATTCTGTACCTAGTGCCTTTGACTTGTGTGGCAGATTGTGTTTGAAAACTTCTCGGCCTGGCTCACAGATACGAGCAGGCTTGGCCTTCCTTCAAGTGCGCTGTTGACTTTAAGTGTCCAATGTTACAGGATTACATATTCACTTCTTGTGAATTGTCACTTGGATTTTGGTGATATATTTGAAAAAGAATGAAAGTAGCTGTCAATTTTATTGTTTGAAAAGTTAAGAGGCTTAGAAAATGTCTTTTTCATTAACTGTCATTTTCAAAGCATTTTGTGTGCCTCCTAGGTTTTTCTTAGTGAAGAGAAAAGGGTTTGGTTTAAAAAAGAGATCAATGAGAAACTTTGTGTCTGGAAACTGCTTTACAAAGCTTTTTTGCCTTCAGTTCATGGTCAGTCCCTGAGTTTTGGGTAGGGCTCATAATATATGAACAAACTTCATTCAAAAGAAATTGTCAGTAGGTGGTAACATCGTGTTTGCTTCTTTGGTATTAATGAATTGTTCATGGTTTTATAATTATGGAAAAAGGTCTGTATAAAGGATTGAATTTAACAAGCTTTTGGTATGAAACTAAAACTGATAAAATATAAATGCATGCATAGAAACAATCTTGAATTTTTGAAAATGATAATAACACTATGAGATGGGAAATATTATATCTAGTCAGCAACAGAGGAACCTGTGCTGAAACTTCTAGCAAGAAAATGTTATCTTTCTATAAAGACTCAATTGTGCTTGGGTTTGTTCTTCAATAGTGCTGGCCAGAGTTTTTTTTTCTCCCTAATATTTGCTTCATTTGGTTAACTTCTGAATTTTGGCAGGAGTCCTTGCTGGACCAACTGGAAAGTATGGAAAACCAGGAGATGACCCTGCAGGAGAAGATGCAGGAGATGGAGAGAACTTTACGCGGGAAGATTGTAACCCTTGAGGTGAGTGACAGAGATTGGCATAGTTCAGTGTTTCCACTGAGGAAAGTTCAGCACGGATGAAGCAGTATGCTTCTTATTGGCACAATACGTCTTTTATGTTATTACCAAGTAGAACTGTTGTTGTGGGTGGTTGATGGGTGCTCTGGTGTGGTTTGCTCCTTCTTTCCCATCAAACGTCTATCGTCCTTACCTCTCCTCTTTCTTTTTTTGTGTATGTTACTCTCTTGTAACACATCTATACTTTGGCACCTTATATGATCTTATTGTTTTGCAAGTGCCGTAAAATGCTTACCAACTGTTGTTGGCTACTTTGATCAGAGAAATTTTCTTCCTTTTTTGTCATTTGCTGTTTGAAGCTTTAACACTTTGCAGTCACACAGCCAGCAGTACAAAATATCCCATCTGGTCACTCTGCTAGGAGAGTGACTGCAACGAACTTCTTGGGCCTGGCGCAGGACATGAATGGATAATTTTCACCGTCGCATTATTGCCCCAAGTGACCGCAAAGTGTGAATTGCTGTTGGTAATATAGATAGTAAAGCGCTTACAGGAACAGTATGAATGAAGTTAATGCTTTGAATTATCCCTTGTTTTCTTATCCACAGGTTGAAATGAAAGGCTATAAACAGAAAGAGTTGAAGGCAGCTGGTAGAATACGTGAGTTGGAAAAACAAGAGAAGGAACTGACGGACAAGGTGGCCCAGCAAGCAGAGAAGGAAAATGGACTTTATGTGAAGATCTCCACTCTGATGGATGAACTCAAAGCAGTGAAGGACGAGAATGAAACCATGAAGACGCAGCTGTCAGAAAAAGAGGACAAGGTAAGCGTCTCCTTTTTTTTTCTAGGTTTTAGGTTTGTAGTTACCTGAAGAACAACTTGTGGTGTGTATGCAACATTTTCAGAGCTCTGTAGACGAAGTTTTTGCAAGAGAAGGGAGGAAATAGAGAAAAGAAAATAGCACAAACCAAAAATTAAAAATACTTTGGACTGGTTCATGTTCTGTTACTGTGGGTATGTTCTTTACTCTATATCTCCGAGGGGGTATACCCACTACGCTGGAGGCCATTTTTTGGTGCTAAATCTAAAAATGACAAAAACGTCATTAAATGGATCATTTAATGGATACTAGCAAACTTATTTTGATAGTTCTTCATCTAATGAATGAACATCCAGTATAAGAGACTTGTTTTCGGCAATTGCCGAAAAGTAATTTGATGTCAAAGACGTGGTAAAGGAATGTGCCCGAGCCGCTGTCAGGCACAGGGGTTCTGACCGCGAGCCACTGGGAGTGGCTTGCCGGAGATAAAGAGTTAAGTTGCTCTTGTGTACAGCTGTTGTAAAAGCCATGTGGTGTTTTGAAGTTTCTATACCTTTTGAAAAAGTCTCACATGATTTTACAGTTACTCTCTCAGGAGTCTTGTTATTCTTTAGTACCACAGTCTCAGTCCCCCAAGCAACGTTTAGCCATATGGGTGTATCTTGTGTCCCAATTTTATCTCTGCTTATTTTGAAGTACAATTTACAGCTCAGTGAATTGAGGTAATGATGGTAAGTTCCCTTTCCTAGGAGTGCAGTTTTCTATCACATGGTTTTGAAAATTAGGGTCATGATATTACGACTATAAGTCGGAGGTTATAACAATTCAACTAAGATCAACTAGTCATTTTGCTGTCCTCCATCCTCTCTCTTCCTTTAAGTATTGATTAAAAGTATAAATGTTGAACAATAGCAGTATTATTCTACTACTTGTTTGACCCAAGTTTGCGAGTAAGACTTAATTAAATTTGTAAACTGGGTTTTTTTTGGTGTTCTTCCAGGTCCGCAAGTCCAAGCTGCTTGAAGTGAAACTCCTGGAAATTGAGATGGAATTTGGCAAGAAATCCTCTGCCCTGAGCACTAAGCTGCGCCATAAAGAGGAAGAACTGAGACAGCGAGAGGTGGCTCATGATCAGGAGCTAAAGTCTGTCCGCGAAGTACTCTTGCAGCAGGTGTCAGAGCAGAGTCATCGCGTCACCATAGTGGAGGGCATGTTTGCCCAGAAAGAGAGAGAGTTGAAAGTCACCATGTCATCTTTGGAAGATTCAGTTAATGATATCACTTGTGAGAGAGATGAATTTGAGAAAAAAGTGAAGGAACTGACAGAGGTAAATGAATCATTGAAGGAGAAAGAAGAAGGATATGAGAAGGAGCTTGTGATTTTGTCAGAAGAAGTGAGATCGATTAAGTCAACAGAGGAGGATGGTGAGGTAAAAATGACAGAGATGAAAGAGAATGTAGAGAAAGAAACAAAGAGAGCCGAGGAGGCTGAAAATAGGGTGAAAGATTTAGAAAACGAATTGGAGAAAGAACGACAGACTGTTCTTGATATTGAAAATAAAATGGTCACTATGAAGAATGATATCTCCGAAAAAATGAAGAATATTGAAGTTAGCTTCATTGAGAAAGAGCAAGAATATGAAAAAGAGAAGCAGTCTTTGAGAGATGAACTGAAAGTGAAGAATGACAGAGTAACTGAACTGCAGAGAGAGCTTGAGAAAACAAGCACACGTGTAGCTGAACTTGAAGCAGAGTGTGAAAAGGTCAAAACAGAGGCAGCATCAGGAGAGAGCACTGTCAGGCAGAGGTTACAGATGCTAGAGCAATCTTTGAGTGAGAAAGAAAAGGCATTCTCTCAGTTAGAGAGGGCCCACGAGGAAGCGAGTAAGTCAGTGGAGGAGAAGAGCAGCAGAATTGAGGAAATACTGAAAGAGAAAGATACAGCTTCAAATGTGCAAAAAGAAAAAATCACCACGATGAGCGCTGAAGTGACTGAACTGAGACAAATTTTGCAGGGTAAAGATATGGAGCTAGAAAGAATGAAAGAGTACGTTGCCCGCAAGAAACAGGAGCATAAAGATCAGATTTCTACCATGAAGGAAGATCGAGAGGCTCTGGAGAAAGAACTGAGAAACAAAGTCATGTTCCTGAACACTCAGCTCCTGCAGGAGGCTGAGGCTCGCGAAGCCCAGCAGTCCAGCCTGCAGGACCAGGAAGATAAGAAGTCCAATTTGTTGACGGAAGTGGGCCAGCTGAAGAAAGAGGTGGAGCAGCACAAGCTGGAGCTCATGGAAAAACTCTCTGAGTTGGAGCTGAAGAACAAGGACAGCTGTGAGCTTTCCCTGGAGCTTAGCCAGTCTCGCCACTCTATAAAGACCTTACAGCATGAATTTGATTCAGCCAGACAAAACTGGAGTAAGACAGAAAACAACTTGCAAAAACTTCTCAAAGAACGGGACCAGACATTGGATAAAACGAATAATGATCTCAACAATTTACAGATTCAGTTTTCTGAGGCTGAATCAAACCTTGCTGAAAAGGAGATGGCTCTAGAGGAAGTAAAGTCCAAGTGCAATCTCATGCAGCAAGAACTGTCAGAAAAAGAGCAGCTAGTGGAAGAGAAATTCCAAAGAGAGGTGGTGGTTCAAGAACAAATGCAGAAAAGTGAACTCCTGTTGCAGGAGAGAGGAAGAGAGAAGCAAGAACGTGAAGCTGAACTTGATCAGTTGAAGAAAACGATGGAGGAGAAAGAGTCCTTACTGAATCACAGTCTGCTTGAGAAAGAGGATCAAAAGTCCAAGTATGAACATTCCATGACAGTTATCTCTTGTTTAGAAAGCAAAGTGTCTGAACTTGAAACTGAGCTGTCTCAGGCTCACGACCGACTGCACTCGCAGGAGAAAGAACTTCATGAGAAAACAGGACATCAGAAACTCAAAGACAACGAAGTTGAAATCCTGCAGAAGAAGCTTGAGGAAGCTCAGAGAGAAGTCCAAGAAAAAAAATCTGAGCACTCAACGACACATTCCAAGATCTTGTCTGAGATGTCCACTAAAGAGCAAGAGTTGGCTCATGCCCGGGAGGAGCTCCAGAAATGCCTGCAGGACATCGAGCAGTGCAAAGTGGAGTGTATGAATAAAGAACAAGAACTTAATCAAAAGAACCAGACTTTTAACGAGCTCCTTCTGGAAAGGCAAGAGCTGACCTCACAGCTTGAGCAGCGGGACCAAGAGACAAAGACTGTGGAATCCAAGATGGCTTCGGTGCAGGAGCGTCTAGTGGAGGCAGAGAATCGCTACCGGGAGCTGGAAGCCATGTGTGCCAGCCTAGAGCTGCAGCTAGAGGAGAGGTTTGCTTCTGCCCAGAACGCTGAGAAAATCCTTGTGAGTAAAGACAATGAATTTCAAGAGTTGCAGTCGAAATTGCTGTTGGTCGAGAAACAGTACACTAATGTTTGCTCAGACTTGAAGAAACTAGAGGAGGAGTACAAAGAAATGGAATCAAAGCAGTTGACTATGGAGCAGAAGTATATTGACAACCAAACTACTCTTTTGAAGAAGGAAGAGGAATGTCAGCAATTGCAAAATAAACTAGCTGAGTTAAATACTGAATGCCAAACGCTGAAGACAGTGTCATCAGAAATGCAGAGTAAAATTTCTGACTATGAGGCACAAGTGAATTTAGCTGAACAGAAAAAAACAGAAGTTCACCAATCTGTTCAGGACTTAGAAGAAAAGTACAGAAAGTCGACTGCTGACATCAAAGCAACTGAAGACAGATTACTTCAAAGTAGAAATGAATGTAAAACACTCGAAAGTAAAGTCACCGAAACTGAAGCATTGATTAGGGACAGAAATGTTGAGTGTAATACTCTAAAATCTTCATTAGATCAGTCTGAGAAAAAATGTTTTAATGTGCTTTCAAAACTTGAGAAGACGGAATGTGATGTAAAAGAAGCACAAGAAAAATGTCAAGAGAAAGATAAGCAAGTGACAGATCTGCAGACCCAGCTGAGGGAGACAGAGCAAGTGTGCTTGTTGAACAGGTCCAGTCTGGAAGAGACTCAGTCCAAACTGAAAGAGAAATGCACAGAGAACGAAAGGCTGACTGTGAAACTGGAAGGCGCTCAAGGAAACATTGGAAAGCAAGAGACCAGAATTTCTGAGCTTTCTGAGAAACTGAACGCTGCCGAGAGAAAGGTGCAACAAAGTGTTCTTGAAACTGATGAGCTTAAAAATGCTATTTTGGTAATCGAAAATGCTATGAAGGAGAAAGAGAGTCATTACGAGGACTCTCAGTCTGGCCTGGAGTCTTTGGAACAAAAACATCTAGAGACTCAGATAGAGTGTGAGAACTTGAAGTCTAAACTGGAATACTTTCAGCAGCTCCTGGGGCACAAAGAGCAAGAGTGTGAGGATGCTGCCAGAAAAGTGAAGGACCTGGAAATCAGCTTAGAGCAAACGGGACAGGCTTTGCAAGACAATGAATCTGAGCTCTCTCAGATTCAAGAAAAACTTATTGAAAAAGAAGCAAAACTGAAAGATGCACAGGCCCGACTTGAACACTCCCAGAAGTCTGTAGCTTTAAGTGAAACATCTAGTCAGGAGTTCAGGGAGGAGGCAGAGACTCTGAGGTCAGAGGTGAAAAAGTTGCAGAGTACAAATGATGAACTGAATACAAAGTATACTCTTTTGAAAGAGTCTGAAGCAGACAAAGATGAACACTGCAACGAGCTGAAAATTAAGCTCGACTTATTGCAGAAGGAACAAAGCAAGACAGTTTCAGAAATGTTGAAAGACTTTAATAGTGTGAAGCTAGAATTAAGGGAAAGTGAGCAACTATTATGTGAGAGTAGAGCTGAGTTAGAAGATGTGCACACACACGTGGACACATTGACTCAACAACACCAGACTGAGTGTAAACAGCTGGTAGCTCAGAACCAAGCCCTTGAGCAGGAAAAACTCTCCACTTCTCAAGTTGTGGAGGACTTGAAGTCTGAGCAGCAAAGTCTTCTGTCTTCCATTCGAAGTTTAGATGATGAAAATGATGTTTTGAGAACAAAAATTGAGAATATGGAGAGGTCTTTGAATTCAAGTACTTCTGGCCATTCGGAATTGATGAAAACCAATGAGCACCTGAGAGAGCAAATTGATGATTTAGAGAAAGAGATAAAAGAGAAATCAAAGAGATGCGAATTTTTAGAGGCAAACTTACAAGAATGCAGTGTTGAAAAAGATGCTGCACTTGCTGAAGTTGAGCAATTAGAGAATGTAAGAAAACAATTAGAGACTGATGTTGCAAGTTTGCATGAAGAGTTGGAAGATGCATCAAAAGAGTTTGAAAATCTGAGGAATGGTTTTGAGGAAAGTAAATCAAGTATAGAAGGAAAAGTGAATGCAGTGACACAGAGCAAGGAAGGGTTGGAAAGTGACCTCCGGTCACTTCAGGACTCCTACAGTGAACAGTGTGTCACAATTGAAGAACAGTTGAAAAAACTAAAGGTTGCTGAGAAACAAGTAGATGAGCTCCAGAAAGAGATAGATATTCGTGAGTCAGAGTTGGGTTCTCTGAAACAGAAACTGCAGGACCATGACAAAAAGTTGACAAGTTCCAATGAAAGGATAAGGGACCTTGAAATTGCTGTAGAGCGATCAAATTCTGAAAAGAATGCTGAAAGTTTAAAGTGCAAAGCCTTGATCAGTGAAAAAGAAGAGGTTTCAGAGAAGTTGTCTGAATTAGAGGACGTTCACAAGCTAGCCAAGAGTAGCATTGATAGCCTTAAAAAGGAAGTGTCTGTTCTGAAATCTGAAAAAGAGGAGGCTGAAGTTCAGTACACTGAATGCCATGTAAAATTGTCTCAAGAATGTGCTGAGTCAAAGCAGCTGAGAGGCAGAATTGACAGTTTGCTCGGGGACAATGACAAACTTGAAAAGCAGTGTGATGAGTGGAAGCATAAATGTGAAGAAGTCAGTGTCAAAGACGTGAAGGAGGAGGTGAGTGAGGCTGCTGTGGATGAATCAGAAATTTGTGTTTCAGTAGTGGACTCTTTAAATTCTGCTCCTAAACGGAGGACTGATTCTAATGATAATGAAACACTCAATCCTGATAGTGCTGAACAAGAGTCGAAAATACAGAAGTTGATGGATGAAATAAGTGTGTACAAGGGTGGAGATGATATGAATCGAGAAAAGCTGCAGAATCTTGAGTTTGCCTTACATGAAATGCATGAGAGAGAGGCAAAATTGTTATCTCGTGTGGAAGAACTTGAAATGAAAGAGAAAGAGTTGTTAGAGCAGATAGCTGACATTGAGCAGACTGTGATCGTACCTCTCGAGTCAGAGAACCAGGAACTGAAAGATGAACTAAGTGTTGTAAGTCAGGAGAGGGACGATGCCTTTGCTGTGGCTGGTCTTGACGAGGATGATGGTGAGCAAGATGCAGAGTCTGTACGCAAAAGTCTGGAAGATGCTTTACTTCAGAAGGAAGAGCTGGAAAAGAAAATTGAGATTTTGTCAGAGGAAGTGGTTAGTTTTGAAAGTGAACGAGAAGCTTTGTTCCAGAAAATGTCAGAACTTGAAGTTTCGAAAATTGAGAATGAAGAGAAAATTGAAAGTCTGGAAGAGGATGTGCGGAGATTGCAGAATTTGGAGCAACAGAGGACAGTCGTAGAAGAGGCAGAGACAAGGCTCATGGACAGAGTTCTTGACCTTGAAGAAAGAGAACAGCTTCTCACTACTGAATTAGAGCAGCTCCGTAGCAACTCTCAAGGAGACAAGAAGACCGGTAGTTCAGGCATGCAGGAAAAACTGACTTATCTTCAACAGAAGAATGAAGTGCTTCAAGATGCAGAAGGGAGATACATGGATAAGATCATGGAATTGGAAGAAGCACAACACAGACTCCAATCTGAACTATCACATCTGAGATCACAGACAGCCTCAACCGAACAGTCTGTGGAGGAGCAAAAAACTAGGTCAGTTTCTGTTGAATCTCTCTCACAAGTGAATATTGGTGCTAAATTGCAAATCTCTATGTCACATGTCTCTGTAGACACTGCCGACTTGTCTGTCACGTCTGAGCACGCAATGACAGAGACAGAACTGTCACAGCGATTGAGTCTTCTCGAATCTGAAAACGAGAAACTTCAGTCAGAAGTGATTGACAGACAAGCTAGAATTGACTCCATGCAGGAGAAGATGGTGCTACTCCAAGACTCGGAGGCTGGGTTGATGGAGAAACTTTTGGAGATTGAAGGGCAACTGGAGAGCAGTAAAGCGAAAGATTTACTTGCTCATTCAGATTTGGATAAAAAAGTAGAAACTTTGATGGAGGAAAATGAGTTTTTGGCTGAAAGTGTTGAGAATTACAAGCAGCTTTTTAAGGAGGAGAAGGAGAAAGTCAATGACCTGCAGGACAAAGTAATGGAAGACAGCACTTTGCTGCAAGATTTGCAAGAAGCCCACGCTGAACTGGAGTCCACCCAGAAGATGGTTGAAGAGATTCAGTCAGAGTATGAGGACCAGCTTGCAGCGAAAGACGCAGAGCTCCAGCATATTGTGGTGCGCAACCACCAGTTGGAGAAAGATGCCACTGAGAAACAGCAACAGGAGAGGTTTGAGATGGACTTGACTAACGAAGCCAGAATGACGGAGCTTCAGGAGAGAGTGCAGCATCTTCTAAAGCAAAACGAGAAACTCCAGAAGACGGTAGAGTCTCAGAACCATGTGGAAGAGGATCTGAGGGCTCAAGATAAATTGCGGAGGCAGGAACTGCAGGGCAAAGTCGACGCCCTGACGCAGCGGAAGGAGGAGCTTCGTGTTCAGCACAAGGCGAGAGAGCAGAAGCTTCAGGCAGAGCTGGAGGTGGTGTCACAGCGGGAACAGTCAGCTGTCAAGAGACTCGAGGCTTTGGAGACAGAGCTCCGCGAGCTGAGACAAGCAGTGGCAGCACAGGAGAGACGCAGGGAGGAGGAGCAACAGTCAGATTCGGGACTGTCTGCAGATGATCCTCGTATACGGTGAGTCAGATTGTATGCTTCCTGGCTTTATCTGTTGTGGTTTTGTTTGGTTTGTTTTAGTGTATGTGAGTGTATATTATGTGTGTTTCTGTCAAAGAAGGGTGTTTTTGTTGTTGCTGCTGTGTGTTTGGTTGGTGTTCTGGTTATTGTTCATTGTATTTCATGTATTTCCTGTTACCTTTCCCTGGGCTCTGGATAATCTCAATATTTCTTCCGGCTGTTATTTTCTGGCGACTTATTTGTAGCTGTATGTGTTTAGCCCTTGGAATACCAAGGCTGCAATGCGATGCCCACCTTCTTGTCTACCTCAACATTCTCATTTATCTTTTCGCTGTGGTCTTAACGAAGCCCATTTTAGTCAGCCCTTTTTCTCACTATATACATTAAAGAGAGAGAGAGAGAGAGAGAGAGAGAGAGAGAGAGAGAGAGAGAGAGAGAGAGAGAGAGAGAACTCTTTGCTTCAAATGCTAAGCAGTAGTAGTGTACAAGTTCTATTTCTCACCGAATTTCCATACCCTTACAAATTCATTATTGCTCGTAGTGTCCAAACTCACAACTACATTTCAATGGTCTTGCCAGGAACAGACACACACACATGCACACACACACACACACACACACACACACACACACACACACACACACACACACACTCACACCCCCCCACACCCACACCCACACACACACCCACACACACACACACACACACACACACACACACACACACACACACACACACACACACACACACACACACGCGCGCGCTCACACACACATACACATACATGCACACCACAGGCATACACACG